GGGGAAAAAAAACACCCAAAAAACAAACCAAAACATAACTGTGAAAGGCAAAACGTCAAAACTTTCAAAAGAAAATATAAGAGAATATATTTTCAAGGTAGGGAAAGCCTCTTAAACTAGGCATGATAAGTACAAACCATAAACGGAAAATAGATACATTTGCTATATTAAAATGGAAAGCTCTATCATTAAAAACCCCCACAAATGAAACAATGTAACTGAGAAAGAATTAACACCAGGAATACATAACAAAGAATTCCTACAAATTAACAGGACCCTAAATAATCCATGAGAAAAATGAAAAACAGAGCTGAAGTGGGTATACATTGAAACATACATGCTGACAAACAACTTGGTATTACCTAGTAAAGTTTAAAAAGCACAAATCCTATCACGTAGGTAAGTATACATCTTGATTTTCCCCAGAACGATTCAAGTTTTCACCCATGGTCTAAGTTATTACTATTATTTTATCAGTATTATTATTTTCTGAGACACAGTCTCGCTCTGTCACCCTGGCTGGAGTGCAATGGCACTAAGGTGGCTTATGCAGCCTCAACTTTCTGGGCTCAAGCCATCCTCCTGCCTCAGCCTCCCAAGCAGCTGGGACTACAGATGTGTGTCCCCACACCCAGCTATTTTTGTATTTTTCATAGAGATGGGGCCTCAATATGTTGATCAGGCTGGTCTTGAATTTCTGGACTCAAGAGATCCTCCTGCCTTGGCTTCACAAAGTGCTGAGATTACCGGTGGGAGGCACTGTGCCACAGGTAAAATCATTACGTGTCTCCTTTCACTCTAAAAGGAGTCTTGGTTGAAACAATAAATACGCGGTCACAGCACCTAGGACCTAGTGCATTGTTACATACATACCATGGAGGAATTCCTGTACGTGAGCAGCGTAAGCTATGATGTTGACTTTCATAAACAAATCAAAATACCTTTCTTCTAAAGCCCTAAAAGAAAAAGTGGAAATAAACACTGCCTGTAGACGAAATAATAAGTAAATAAGTAGCATGGTATACTAAAACAGAAAATATTGAAACAGTGGTGAAAATCAGTGAACTGTTCCATATCCAACACATCAATGATGTTTGGATCTCACAAATTAAAATTTGCACAAAGAATGAGTAGAAAAATAAACAGCATGATTCTGTATATTCAAATGTAAATTAAACACAAATGTTGAATTCAAACACATTTTTTTGCGTTAGGAACACAAACACATTTGGTCAAACTGAAAAGAAAAGCCAGGATACAGTAAAAACCACTATATACCCACTATAGTGAAGGAGGGGTGGGAGGTGATGGCATGAGAATTTGACTGGGGAGGGACACATGTGAGTTTCACAGCAGTGGCAAGTGGTCCCATCTCATGCTGGTAACGGAAGACTGGGTTAACTTGCTCTTTAAATCTCACGAGTTACAGGTAGTCTTTATCTTTCATAATCAAAAATGGAAAAACACAGGTATCTGTTCTTGATTTGTACATAAGTCTTTACTCCCTCCTGTCATGGACTTTAGTTTTATTAAACCATAAATGGAATTTTAAGCTTACATAAGCTTTGCATCACAGTGCAGCAAATAATCTGACTTTTTCCTTGTCTGAGGGCTTTGCACAAGACTGTGCTTAACTGTTTACATTTTTTAAAAATACTAAATTTAAGTAATTCTGTATTTGAGAAATAAAAAGTTCCTAATAACATTTAAGACTTGTTTTCTCAGGTTCATTTTCTGGACACAGACATTGTGAATATAAATCTTTTACCAAATTGCAGTCACATGAAATTTCTTTCCATAGGGGCACTAGAGTGTGTAGTGGAAATCTAGGTAGCATGTATTAATAGAAGTCTCTAGGTAATGAACACTCACTACAGATCTAGCAGTTTATCTGTATTATTTAATACTCATCATAAACTTATGAAGTATTATTATTACCTCCATCATACAGCAGAGAAGGCCAAGTGATTTGCCTAACGTCACACTGATGATACCTGATGGTGACAGGCTACCCACACAGGGTTTCCTGCCAATAACCTTTTCTCTGTGCTGGTCACCTCTCCGCTCTCTTGGCAATGTCGCTAGGCAGGGATGGGCAGAAAGAGCTCTGAATGCAGGGTCTCAGTAACTGCGTTGAGTCTTAGTTTCACAGCCAAGTGAAGTGACCCCTGAAAATCTCCAACTTTTAGAAGAGACTGGTACCTCAGAATAAAGAGGATTAAGCAGTGGTGCCCATGCACGGACATCTTTTAAAGTGTGAAGAGCTGCACAGATACAAGCATAGCAATTATCATTTTAACGAGAAAGCAGAATGGCAGCACAGTTTAGTCACCGTGAAGATCCAGTTAGAAATAACTGAATGAGTGACACCGTGACTGTAATATTTCATTTGCATCTTCCCTCTCCCACCCCAATCCCACATAGGGGCCTGGCTCATTATTCACCGCTATCTTCTGAATTTACGAAAAGAAGAATGTTTGAATCCAAAAATACCATGTCTTCAAGTAAAGGTACAAACCGTAGGTCCAAGAAAATTTTTCCTTGGGGCCACTAAAGTCTTGTAGTCAAGAGTGGAAAAATGACACGTTAAAACAAATCTTTGACGCTATCGCTTTCTGTCGAATAAATGCTTTTACCGTCTTCACCGTAGATATACTCTACATATTTACTGTGAAGCAACAGCGGACATTTACAGTGACTGAAATGCTTTCACGCTGCATTGCAGCCTCACAACGCTGAGTTTGGCAGGGCAGGTCATTAGTAACCTCTTTCCGCACGAGGGTGAATTAAGCCTAAGAGAAGTTACGGGGCTTGCTGGGGGCCAGGCTGGCACCGAGCCTGGAGTTGGGGGTTTCGGGGACGCCTGGGCTCGCCAGCGGGCAGCTTCCCCTCCCTGCAACCGCCACGGGCTGCGGAGACGCTTCCAGCCTCTGCAGACGTGGAGCGCGAGGGCCGCGGCAGCACCGAGCCTGGCACAAGGCCCGCGGAGCGCAGACGCTCTCGGGTGGGAGGCGACCCGCGCCCGGACCCCACGCCCACAGCATCCGTCCCAGAGAAGAGCCCCCGGGCTGAGCCGAGGCCTTGATCCTCACCTGCCACCCGCCCACTGGGGCTGGGGGAAGGGGTCACCTGCGGCCGTGACCAGGGTCCGGGAGGAAGGTGACAGTAGCCAGGAATCAGGGAGCCGAGCCAGCACCCGGCGGCCTTGTGCGCCTGCGCATAGCGGGCCGCCGCGCTCCTACTTCCGCGCATGCCCGATGCAGGAAGAGGTGGCCCTAGCCCCAGGCCGGAAGTGGGGTTCGTTTCCGGCTCGTCTGCCGTGGGCAGGGCCTGGAGCCCAAGGTCTGAACGTGCCCAGAGAACCAGGAGTCCGTAGTTGAGGGGAACGGACCCTGTGGTTGGAAATGGGAACAGAGACTACACTCAATCTAGCCTGATGCTATCACTCAGAGGCAATAGGCAAGCCTGTGGCAGATGGGGCGGATGAAACGGAAACGCTTAGGCTATTCCTCTTGGCCAACATAACCTAGAAATCAGTGTTTCTAGGGATTTGTCTTTGTGTTTATCTGTATTTTCTACGTTTCTTACCATGCACCAGCAGTACTTGTATAATAAAATTGATGATACAGATAATATCAATGATAGGTGGGTGGATTTAGTCCCAAAGCATGAAGCCCCTCTTGGCTCTGCCAGGTAATGTCAGCAAACAGTGGCTGAATAGGAGTCTCACGTCTTGGCCATTGCTTACTTGAGTTTTAATGTAATCTCTAAAATTTCACCCACTCAACAGATATTCATCCAGCCTTAACTCCATACCACGTGCCGTGCAGGGTACAACTGATCAAAACCAGACCCAACCATTTCTGTCACGAAGATCAATAAAGGGTAGAGGGAAAAGCTAAATAATCACAGATATGAAGGAAAGGTGCGTGGTCCTGGAAACCCCGGTGGAACCTGGATAGCGGCGTCGTTCGGTATGATGTAGTTTTGAGTCCTTGTAATGCCATTTCTGCTGGCCCAAGGCCAGGGCAGGCACTTTGGGCAGGATGCGCAAGAGGGGCGGTCTCTCCACCAGAAATCTTCAGTCTTTGGAGACCCCTAGAAGCCCCAGGGTCTTCCCATCTGAGTCTCATTCGGAAGCATATGCTGGTCTTGTACTACCAGTGGTGCGGCGCTGGCTTTCATGATAACCCCATCCTTGGTAGTGCTTCTTTTGCCACACAGGGCTGGGCACCTGCAGAAATGCATTAGGTATGACCCTGACTTAGGGCACCTTTGGCCGATCCTAAGGGAGTCAGACAGCTGAAGTGCACTACTCAGGCCGGGTGTGGTGGCTCACGCTTATAATCCCCAGCACTTTGGGAGGCCGAGGCGGGTGGATCACGAGGTCAAGAGATCCAGACCATCCTGGTAAACAAGGTGAAACCCTGTCTCTATTAAAAATACAAAAAATTAGCTGGGCATGGTGGCGCGCGCCTGCAGTCCCAGCTACTCAGGAGGCTGAGGCAGGAGAATTGCTTGAACCCAGGAGGCGGAGGTTGCGGTGAGCTGAGATCGCGCCATTGCACTCCAGCCTGGGTAACAAGAGCGAAACTCCGTCTCAAAAAAAAAAAAAAAAAAAGTGCGCTACACAATGGACTAATGCGCGCTGCGATTGTGTTAGTCAACTTTGCAGCGTCTCATCTGCAAAATGGAAGCCTAACAGCTTATTCACAAGGTTTTATGAAGCTCCTTAGGGCAGTGCGTGTGAAGCGTTGGCCAGGCGCTTGGGAATGCCAATTACAGTACAAATGACAAAACATGGCGGTCCCCAACTACAGCGTGAGATTCTTAGATGCGATAGCTGGCTAGAGCTAATCGCCGCACGCTCCCGACCACCTGACCCTAGAGCCAGCCTCCGCCGCCCGCCTCCGCCCACCACCCTCTGTCCTCTTGGCTGGGTTCTTACTTCCAGGAGTCAGCGCGCTGAGAACCCGGATGTAAGCCCAGGTGGGCATGCGCACAAGCCAGCGCCGCGGCCATTGGCCACTGTTGAGGAGCATATTGATGACGCAACCTAGAAAGAGGAAGTGGCCACTACGGAAGCGTTCTGGGCCAGAAAGACTGCCAGTTTGGAGCTGCTTGCTGTGGGGAGGGAATGAATGGGCGCTGGGAACACGCCCGCGAGGTTGGGACGCGCAGGCAGTAGCGAGGTCCTTAGCGTGTGAGTGGCCGGGGTTGGGTCGCTTCCCCGCAGCATGGAGGACGATGCACCAGTGATCTACGGGCTGGAGTTCCAGGTGGGTCAATTGGAGGGTGGCAGGTGCTGCTCGGCCTGTCTGCTGACTGCACGCGCGGTCCCATGATGACTTCGGTTTGCAGGTCTCCCACCAGCCCTACGAGGACCCGTGTCCGTCCCCTAGTTCCCATTTTGCAGAGGAGCAAACTGAGACTTCAGGAGGTTAAACGGCTGTACTGGATAACATGGTTGGCACAGCGAGCCTGCCTCCTTCCCCTTCACATCCTGCCCCGAACATGACTTCTCACCTGTTTTCACTCACTTTGGTGGACTCATTTGTTTACACGTCCACCTTTTCCTCTAGAATTTGAGTTCCTGAAAGTAGGAACTGTATGTTTTTTTTTTTTTAAGTGTTTGATTTTGAAACAGTTAAAGTATTTGGAAGAGTTGCAAAGATACACAGAAAGTTCTTCCTTACCCTTCACCCAGCTTCCCTTAATGTTAACACTTCACGTAACCACGGAACATTTATCAAAGCCTAGAAATTAACATTGATACACCAATATTAAGTAAACCACGGACTGTCTTCGGAGTTAACCGTTTTCGCACTAGTGGCCTATTTTTTATCTTGTATTTTCCAGTGCCTGTTCACCATGGCTGTCACATAGTAGGTGTTCAGCAAATGACTATGAACTGAATGAGCCCCGAAAGCGTAAGCAATGCACGTGGCAGTTCAGGACAGCAAGAAAGCTGATGTAAATAGAGTGAAGGAGTCAGGGGGAATGAGGTAGGAGATGAGATGAGGGTGAGGAAGATGAGGATTGTGCAGGGTCTGTTAGAGCCCTGCACTGTTTTTCATCTATTCAAGTAGCTTTTGAGAATGTGTTTTGCCTAAAGCATTGAGGGACAAATACAGAGATAGAAACACAGTTCACTGCCATATGAAGTACTTGATACTAATTTTGTGCAGCAATATGTGTTAAAATATAAATGATGTCTGCTTTTAAGTCGGTTACAGTCAGAGAGGCAGCAGTGTTAGTAAAATAATAGATGCCATCGAGACACCTAAGTTTTACATCCTGACTATAGCACTTATTAACTATGTGACCTTGGGCCTTTTCTGATTAGGTTTGATAACTTACATTTTTCTGGAAAATTCATCGTTTACTCAGTGGACAAATTATTTATTTATTTATAATGCAATGAGGCACTTTGCATGTGCCTGGAACACAGCATAGGAGGAAACAGACAAAATCCCAGCCCTCGTGGACGTACCCACCCAAGATTCAGCCTTGCAGAGGTATTTCTGCAGAGGAACAAAGTCTCTGAGAATTGAGGATTTGCCTTTTAGGTTGTTCCCATTTTTAAAAAAATTTCATCAGTTGAAATTTTTAATACAAAACATTAAAAACAATTTCCGTTTATTTGCTCAGCATTTTTCTATCTTTTTTTTTTTTGAGATGGAGTTTTGCTCTGTTGTGCCGTGGTGCCGTCTTGGCTCACACTGAACCTCTGCATCCCGGGTTCAAGCGATTCTCCTGCCTCAGCCTCCTGAGTAGCTGGCACTACAGGTGCGCACCACCACGCCCAGCTATTTTGTATTTTTTAGTAGAGATGGGGTTTCACCACGTTGGGCAGGATGGTCTCAATCTCTTGACCTCATGATACCTCCACCTCAGCCTCCCGAAGTGCTGGGATTGCAGGCGTGAGCCACTACTCGTGGCCAGCATTTTTCTATCTTTTTTTTTTTGAGATGGAGTTTTGCTCTTGTTACCCAGGCTGCAGTACAATGGCGCGATCTCGGCTCGCCGCAACCTCCGCCTGCTGGGTTCAGGCAATTCTCCTGCCTCAGCCTCCTGAGTAGCTGGGGTTACAGGCACGTGCCACCATGCCCAGCTAATTTTTTAGTAGAGACGGGGTTTCACCATGTTGACCAGGATGGTCTCAATCTCTTGACCTCGTGATCCACTGGCCTCAGCCTCCTAAAGTGCTGGGATCACAGGCTTGAGCCACTACACGTGGCCAGCATTTTTCTATCTTAATTACCCTCTATGTTGGTCTTCTGCCTTTTACTTGCAGTTGCTTAGCTGATTTATTTTATTCTTTTTATCGATACAAGCACTTTAGACACGGATTTTCTCCTGAACATTCACTTCTTGATTTTATTGTTTTGTGGATATTTTGCAGTTTTGAATTTCAGGGCAAATTTCTTTTCTGACCTGAAATTCCCTGAAGGGACCCTTCTCAACTCTGTCCCTGCCACTGCTGTGATGAGGGTCCTTTCCGCCGCAGACTTCCTTCCTGTGCTGCAAGTTTTCATCCCATCTGGTTGTCTTGGGTTGTCTTGCAGTGTCTTCTTTGAGTTCTGCTTTGAATTTTTCTCTTTTACTTTTCTTTTTTCTTTTGAAACAAGGTTTTGCTGTCACCAAGGTTGGAGTGCAGTGGCACAATCTCAGCTTACTGCAACCCCTGCTTCCTGGGTCCAGGCGATTCTCCTGTCTCAGCCTCCCAAGTAGCTGGGATTACAGGTGCATGCCACCTCACCCAGCTAATTTTTCTGTTTTTGGTAGAAACAGCGTTTTGCCATGTTGGCCAGGCTTATCTTTAACTCTTGACCTCAAAGGATCTGCCCACCTGATCTTCCCAGAGTGCTGGAATTACAGGAGTGAGCCACCATGCTCAGCCTCTTTTTAAAAAAAGTTTTTTGAGACAAGGTCTTGCTCTGTCACCCAGGCTGGAGTACAGTAGTGTGATCATGACTCGCGGCAGCCTGGGACTCCTGGGCTCAAGCCATCCTCCTGCTTCCATCTCCCGAGTAGCTGATATTACAGGTCCAGCTCTTTATTATTATTTATTTGTTTCTATCGATCTAATCAGTCAATCAATTAATCAATGAGATGGGGTCTCATCATATTGTCCAGGCTGCTCTTGAACTCCTGGGCTCAAGCAGTCTTTCCACCTTGGCCTCTTAGAGTTGTGGAATTATAGTCCTGAGCCACTGCACACAGCCTTTTTTTTTTCTTTATTAAAACGATTTTTTAAGTTGATTCATATTAAATGCATATGGTTTCAGGGTGCAGTTGATATTACATTCATATGATTGAGATATTCATCACCTTAAGTATTCGTCTTTTCTTTATGTCAGAACCATTCAAATGATTCTCGTTTAGCTATTTTGAAATGTACAGTAGACTATCGTCAGCTGTAGCCAACCTGCTGACATACCGAACACGATGTCTTATTTCATCTGTCCAGCTGTATATTTGTACCTGTGAACCGACTGTTCTTTATCCAACCGTTCTGCTACTTTTCACAGTGTCTGGTAAACATCAGTTTCCTCTGTCTTCAGAAGATCCACTTTGTTTTAGCTCCAACATATGACTGAGAACATGTGTTGTCTTTCTTTCTGTTCTTGGCTTAGTTCACTTAGCATAATGGCCTTTTTTTTTTGAGACAGAGTCTCCTGCTGTCACCCAGGCTGGAGGGCTGTGGTGCTGTCTCACCTGTGCCTCCCAGGCTTACTTGAACAGGCCGTGGAGTGGCTGGGACTCCAGGTGCACATCATTACACCAAGTCAAGTTTCTTGTATTCTTCGTAGAGATGGGATTTTGCCATGTTGCCCAGGCTGGTCTTGAACTCCTGAGCTCCTCCTGCCTTGGCCTCCCAAAGTGCAGGTGTTGCAGGCATGAGCCACTGTGCTTGGCAACCTCATTCTTTTGTATGGCTGAGTAATATTCCACTGTGTATGTATACCACATTTTCTTTAGCCGTTCATCTGTTGATGGGCACTTGGGTTGACTCCAGGTCTTGCTGTTGTGAACAGTGCTGCAGTAGACCTGGGAGTGCAGTATCTCTTCAGCACACCGGCTTCCTTTCCTTTGGATGTCTACCCGGCAGTGGGATTGCTGGATGATATGGTAGCTCCATTTTTGACTTTTTGAGGAGCCTCCATACTCTTCCACAGTGGCTGTACTAGCTTATGTTCCCATCAGTAGTGTAGGAGGGACCCACCCTTGCTGGCATCTGTTATTCCCATCAGTAGTGTAGGAGGGACCCACCCTTGCTGGCATCTGTTACTCCCATCAGTAGTGTAGGAGGGACCCCACCCTTGCTGGCATCTGCTATTCCCATCAGTAGTGTAGGAGGGACCCCCCCTTGCTGGCATCTGCTATTCCCATCAGTAGTGTAGGAGGGACCCCACCCTTGCTGGCATCTGCTATTCCCATCAGTAGTGTAGGAGGGACCCCACCCTTGCTGGCATCTGTTATTCCCATCAGTAGTGTAGGAGGGACCCCCCCTTGCTGGCATCTGCTATTCCCATCAGTAGTGTAGGAGGGACCCCACCCTTGCTGGCATCTGCTATTCCCATCAGTAGTGTAGGAGGGACCCCACCCTTGCTGGCATCTGTTATTCCCATCAGTAGTGTAGGAGGGACCCCACCCTTGCTGGCATCTGCTATTCCCATCAGTAGTGTAGGAGGGACCCCACCCTTGCTGGCATCTGCTATTCCCATCAGTAGTGTAGGAGGGACCCACCCTTGCTGGCATCTGCTATTCCCATCAGTAGTGCAGGAGGGACCCCACCCTTGCTGGCATCTGCTATTCCCATCAGTAGTGCAGGAGGGACCCCACCCTTGCTGGCATCTGCTATTCCCATCAGTAGTGCAGGAGGGACCCCACCCTTGCTGGCATCTGTTACTCCCATCAGTAGTGCAGGAGGGACCCCACCCTTGCTGGCATCTGCTATTCCCATCAGTAGTGTAGGAGGGAGGGACCCCACCCTTGCTGGCATCTGCCATTCCCATCAGTAGTGCAGGAGGGACCCCACCCTTGCTGGCATCTGCTATTTTGTTTTTTTTCGTATTGAGTTGCCTGAGCTTCTTATATGTTACGGTTGTTAATCCCTTGACAGATGGATAGTTGGAAAATCTTTTCCCCATTCTGTGTCTTTTTCTTTTCTTATTATTTATCCATGACAAGGTCTCACTCTGTCACCCAGGCTGGAGTGCAGCGGTGCAGTCTCTGCTCATTGCACCTTGGTGCTGAAGCCTCCCACCTCAGC